TTAAAAGTTGCCTGAAAGAAAAAAGAAAAAGTTGTAATAAATATCTTAGCAAAACAATCATAAATCTTTTGTCTTTCTCTTTAGGTCAGGTCATGGTGGCCTGGGACATTTCTTAGTAGAGTTTGCATGGTACCCATGCACCCGTGGGTTTTCTCTGTGTACTCCAGTATCCTCCCAAAAACCAGACGTTTGTCTCTGTGTCCCAGTGATGGACTCTCACACAGTGATTGCTGGACGTGTGTGAATTGCTTGCTTTGTTCGCAAGATGAAGCACAAATAACCAAACTAAGCTCATATTATAGGCACATTTCATTTTAATGTTTAAATTTAAAATATAAAGCTTTGGTGAAAAACACCTGAATTTATAATGACGTGTTGCTCTGAGGATCAGCATGAGAAATGCAGTATGTTGAATTTCACGTTTGTTGATTCCTGCCAAAAAAGCTTCAAGGTGTCTTTTTTTTGTTAAAGTTGATTTTCTTGTACCACAAAGCAATATTCCACATAAATACCCATTATTACACATCCCATACTTTTATAGATTTTAATTTATAATTAGGACTAATTTAGTCCCTGCCATGTTTTCATTTGTAATCCTCATTCTTTGTTAAAGAAACCTTTTTACTGCATCCTATCAAAAATAGACAGACTTGAAAACACGTCTCTGATGATATGTCGGTCTGACTTGACCTGTCTGACCTGTTATGACAACTTATCGATACAATAGGCTGACTTGAATCATCAGAACATCGAATGAGATCATCAGAGGTACAGCACAGGTTGAACCACTGGGAGACAAAGTTAGAGAGACCAGACTGAGATGGTTTGGACATGTCCAGAGGAGGGACAGTGTTGGTAGAAGGATGTTAGAGATGCGGCTGCCAGGAAAAAGACAAAGAGGAGATAAATGGATGCAGTTAGAGAGGACAGGATGAGACCTTTTTATGAGGGACTAGCTGAAAGAAAGAAGACACGTCAATACGTCTGACTCGACACATTGATCTGTCCCTTCCATTCTTTCCACGTGTCGATCCGTCGATCAGACTTAGACACGTTCTGGTTATGTTCATCAGAGGCAGGTTTTAGTCACACTTTGCTCATACAGCTTCCTAATGACACACTGTTCTGAGGCTCAGCATGGGAAAGGGCACCCTGTCACCACCACAGCTGCTGTCTCACAGAATTCAGCTATAATAATCGCTGCAGTGTTTCATCGCTCCCAAGAAGCGACGTGTATTTACTTACCTTTTGTGTGGGAAAGTTATTACTTTAAATGATGGAGGATTTGGAGCATTGAATGGCTAGTTTTTTATTTGTTTAATGTGAAGAGTGAAGGAATTACCATGGATTGACTTTAAAGGACTAGAGAAGAACCCTTTCCTGCCCTTTTACCTTTGAATGGATTATCTTCCCTTTTATAGTGTCGTCAGTTTGTTGGTAGATGAAATTTCTAAGGCTTCATATAAGAGGTGTGCTTAAGCTCTTCTACAGAGGTGAAGCTAATTAACACTTCGTTCTTGCACTCCAGTCTAGTTCCCCTTTCGGAGAATGGCACTCCTGCCTTTTTTATTTTACAGAGCAAATGTCTGTGCTGGCAATATGTCATCCCAAAACTGGTATTTACTCCTGTTCCTATTTAAATGTTATGATCACACCCTCTACCAGCACATAAACGGTCGGTTAGCAGAGAAGAATGCAGGTGACTCTCAGTCAGGTCGGACCTGCTTTTCCGTTCAGGTGTTGATGTCTGTTGAAGACGCCTTCTGGAAAGATTTTGTCTAGACACTGAAGAGGCGTATTAATATTCGATGGAACTGAGTGTTGATTCTACACCACAATTAGCTGAAAAGTTAACCTTAAATAAAAAGTCTTTATGGAGTTTCCTGTGTGTTAAATAAGTGTGAAAACTGATGGATATTTTTGTGTTTGTTGTAGGTAGACTCTTTTCTTTATGTTTGTCAGCTGTCTTACACTGGTTTTAATGTCACAACTCTGGGCAACAAAAGAGTTTTATTTCCATGATTGAAATCCCTGGACCCCTTTGCTGTTTGTTTTAGGAGAATGGACGTAGTATGTTGGGGAAAACAGAAAGTTTTTGTGCCTTTTTTTGTTCAAATTTCGATGCATTTGAACCAGCGTGGGCCCCTTGGTGATAAAACAAACTAGTCAGTCATTCCAGCCTTTATGGATTATTGCTCGTATAAAACCATTTAACTGGTAATACAGCTTCATGTTGTTCTGCTTATTGGTATGAACAGTACCTAATAGTCCATTGTCTGATGGATTTATTGCTATGAATGATGAGGGTTGTCAAAAATGTATTTATCATGACCCCCGCATGCGAAGCGTAAGCGGGAGTCATATTGTTTTCATACTGGGTTTTTTTCCAGTGGTTTTTGGTCAACCGTAGCACAAAAACGGCTGCACCAATCAACATGAAATTTGGCAGGACTGTAGATGAGTCTGACCTACACTGCGCCAGCCAACAGTTTTATGATAGACCCCATATTTGAGAAGGGGGCTCCTTTTAAAAGTAGGGATGTCAGGACATGCAAAAATGCTTATAACTCAGAAACTCTTCAACATAGAAGCTTCAGATTTCTTTTGTTCTTTAGCTCTGATGAAGGTCTATCCATCAGGCCCACCAGTCTCTGCCCCTCACCCCCTGGACCACCAATTTATCTGAAAAAGTGTTTTTTTTGTACTGTTTATTTTTTCCCCAGTGATTTTTGGTCAACCGTAGCACAGAAACGGCTGCACCAATCAACATGAAATTTGGCAGGATTGTAGAAGAGTCTGACCTACACTGCGCCAGCCAACAGTTTTACGATACACCCCACATTTGAGGAGGGGAGTCCTTTCAAAGAGGGGGTGTCTGAACATGCAAAAATGCTTATAACTCAAAAACTGTTCAACATAGGAGCTTCAGATTTCTTTTGTACTTTCACTCTAATGAAGCTCTATCCATTAGGCCCACCATTCAGTGCCCCTCCGGATCCCCAATTTATCTGAAAAAAGTGGTGTCTGGACATGCAAAAATGCTTATAACTCAGAAACTGTTCAACAGAAAAGCTGCAGATTTCTTTTGTTCTGTAGCTCTGATGAGGGGCTATCCACCAGGCCCACCAATCAATGCCCCCCCCCCAAATAAAAAAGACCCCCACCCGAACCACTACAATTTTGGGATGCACCTAGTGGCATGACATTTATTAGGAATAAAGACTTCTGAGTTCTGGTGCATTTGTGCGTGCGGGGGTCATTATGTTACCGCTATGTGGTATCTATTTTTTTAGAACTTGCTTGTAGTGTAAAGAAAATAGGGAAAACCAACTACAGAGTGCTTTCAGACTCAAGATCTTGGTTCACTTCATTTGCATTTCTCCTCAGATCCACCAAACACCACAACAGATTCTCTGTTTGTACAAAATCACACAAAAAGCAGAAGAAGGCATTGTTCATAAACTTCTCTTTACATTTTCTGCGTAACTGACACACACAATTATAATTATGGCTTAGTCAAAATGTGTGGCTAGTGTTTGCCAGTAAATAAGTCACCAGGTCTTGTAAAAGTTCCTGCTAAGTGGAGTATTTACTCAGACCATTTAGTGTAAAATGGACCAGGAATGTCTTCACCTGTGAACAAACAGTAAAAACCTGAAGAAGTTTGTTTTTTCTTCCTTATTTCACTCTGCAAACCATTCTGTACTCTATAAACACTGTTATACAGGTAGAGTGTAATCTTGGTCTTTTGTTTCTAATATACCCTCACTTGTTTAGCAAACTAGCAAACTGCACGACTATACTTATATAGTGCCTTTCTCGCCAACCAGGCTACTCAAAGCTCTTTATGACACAATCTGAGCCCTCATTTACCCATCCACACAGCACTCTGCTACATCTCTACACAGCTTATCTGAAGAAATCATTCTATAGAGACTAATCAGCACTTTAGATTGCATTCATCCACTTGGGCAATTTGGAGGCAATGAGCGGTTCATTGTTTTGCCCATGGATAATTCAACATGTGACTACATAGCACCAAAAATCAAACCTCCGACCCTCTTGTCAGCTGCCCAAGAATGTCAGCTTTCTGCGAAGTGCTTAAAATTAAAATCAAAACCCTCATCATGTGTGACCTGTCAGTTATAATATGTCCTATATTTATAAAACTCTGGCTGAAAGAGACAAAGCAAAGTCCAGTTCTGAGTGTTTACACTAAGTTAACAGTGAACCTCGGAGCCATTATTGATGATAAACACAAGTGGTCTAAGCGTAGATGAGAAAGTGATGCAGGTCTTAAACAGCAGAAACCCAATGAAGAAGAGCAGGAACCATCATGGTAGGAAATTATCCTTTCAGATATAAACCACTGGTAAATTGAAGAAAAGCTGTCATCTACTGAACGCTACAGAACATGTGTGTTATGTACAGGAGCATTTGTGCTGAGATAGAGGCCTCAAAATCAAAATGCTCCTTCAAATGTTGTAGGCACTGACTGGACTAAGATCTTCTCTGATGTCCAGATTCAGACATTGCAAAGACAAAATTGATGGCGGCACTCCCAAGAGACCAGATCTGGAAGACGTGTTTCAAGACGCTATATGGAAAATTAAAACCACAGCAGTGTCAGTGGTCATGAAGCATTTAGAGTTTTGATCTTTTGAAATGAGAAAACGGTAGATTCTAGGAACAACTTTAGAGATTTTTGTCCAGAAAGAGAACAGCTGGGATGTTGAGTAGAACCTACCTGTTCTACAAGCTTTATTTTCAGGATGATAACTTCTCTGTGGCTGGAACATTGCAAACCTGTTGGACCTCATCATGTGAACCAAACCTGAACTCAGACTTTCTTTGTAACTGTGTGATTGTACAGGACTTTGGGATATGGGGATAATGTTCCTTTTAAACAAACGAAAATACATTGGCAGGAGATGTACAATTTTTGTCATTAAGTCAGTTTTCTTTATTTCTTCATGTTAATTCATGTGCCTTTCTGACAGGATGCGGAGATGACGGCGAACATTCACCACTTGGAGTACACTGACGGAGGAATTCTGGACATGGACGACCTGCTCAGTGATCTAGTAGAAGACAGAGAAAAGGTGAGGAAGAGTTGGATGTTCAGACAGTGATGGTATTTATTTTGTTTTTACAGAGGCCCATTGCAACAGATCGACTGATTGTAAACACACGTTTCCTATCGCGTTAACTTCTGATAGACAGCAGTATTTTCAAAACTGGAACTCTGAACAGTACAAGATGAACCTTTCACAGTGATAGTGAAGGTGTGTGAAGGACAGTAATGTAAAATAAGATGCGTCATCCTTAGCCATACTTAGAGTCCAGTAACAGATTTATACACCTTCATTCCTAATGACAAACTAATGTGAAGCACTTGAACCTGCAAACGGTTACCTGTTTTAAACTGCTGCCAACCTAAAATAAAATATGACAAAAAAGCGTTTGGATTTTTCACTAGACAGTTTTAGCTGCTCCCCTCCCTCTGTGCAGAAGCATCTGCCCAATTTTCAATAAAGACCATTTTTTTGTCTCCTTTTCTAATTTTCCATAATGTATTCACAAGACATGCTAATAAACTGCCCATAATCCATATTCATAAGCCTCGGGTCTAGGCGACTGATAAATTACCAACACTTAGTCAGCAAGAAGGCCAAATAAAATGGAAATGGAATATTAAGTCAATCCTGTGTTGTGCATTAATAACTGGGGTTTTATGCTGCTGAAACAGTAGTGTGTGTTTGTATATACGTGTGTGTTCATATTTGTATACACACAGGACTTCTTTTTGAGGAAAATAGTCTTTGTGAAAATGGGGACGAAGCTAAATAATAGATGGGAATCTTGCGTCAAGGAGAAACTGTTTTTGCAGAACAAAAGCTTCTCCTTTTGGGACGATCTGCACCTTGTTTGAGCGTTAGACGCTGAATTGTAGATTTTATTGGCTCGTTCTGGAATTCAGAATGATGAAGTGTCGTGGTTAAACTGATGTTTGTTTTAGGGATTAAGCTCCACTACAGGAAGGCTTCAGTAGAACCGGCGTTGTGCAGGAACAGTCCTGAGTTCACCTGTGATTCTTTACTCTGATAGCTTTCATTCACCTCTCTAAACGCTGCCCGTCTCATCGTACTTCTCGTTTTATTCTCTTTTTGTTTGCTGCTGATGAGAAGATAACAGATGGAGTAGGAAGAGCCGCCGTGATCTTCGCTGCATGCCAGTCACTCGACTTATCTCCGGGCTTCCAAACAGCGCCGGCTCTCGTAGATTAATGAGCCGTGCCTGGCATTCTTGATTAGTCTGACTTTCTTTTGTTTGTGTACGTTTTTATTACCTCGCCTCAGTCTACAGATTCTATCGTTAGCTCTTTTCTTTTTTCTGTTACGTTATTGTAGCCGGCGCTGTTCGCCATCAATCATACAGGAGTGGTCCCAGTGTGAGGGCCCTCCACCGCACAGCGTGGGCTCTGTGTTAGCCACGGATGCTAATGAGAGATAATGGTTAGTTATTTGTACTCCTAGTGCTCAGCTTAGCTACGAGTCCAGACCTCTTTATCTGGGCCAGCCCCTGGCCATTATTCAACACACACACACACACACACACACACACACACACACACACACACACACACACTCTCTTCAGCTGTCCGTGGTGTTTGTGCCACACCGCAGTCGTAGCGCAGCATGTTCGTGCGTATGGAGGGAGCGCCACTGGTGGTTGATGAGGGCGAAGATGAGGGGGCGGCTGTGATTTGATTACAGCTCTGCCCCCCTGCATCTGTGACAAGTGAGCACACATGCACACACCAGCGTGTGTGCCCACTCTATTCGTTAACCCCCCATCTTGAAACACAGGCCACCAGCCTCCCTCATGAATATTAATATCAATCTGATAAACGTGGAGAAGAGGAAGGGTTGTGGCGTTAGGTGTGACCTCGCGCTCATAAAAATACACAAAAGGTCACGGTTGAGTCTATTATATGCTCATTTCCTTTGATGTAAACAGTTGGGTGGGTTATGTGTATTTTTTTCTTCCTGCCCTGCAGTTTTAAAAATGGCTTTTAGAAAAATAAGTCATTAAAGTATCAGACCCATCAGACACCACTCCCCTTGCTTTGTTAATGGTGCACAGAAGTAAAGACATGGATCAGTGTGATTTCTACATGTAGTATTTCAATTTGTCAGGTGATGGTTCTGTCAAAAAGCAGCTGTTTCTCACAAATTTAGCTTGTATGTTTTCTTTGCTAAAATTACAGATAGTTTGGAACACAAGAGTCCGTTTGTGATTTTTGTTTAGTATGAATATTTTTTAGTTTTTATGTCTACTGAATAAATTGCCCTTTGGTGATAATAAAGATACTTGAACTTGAACAGTTTTAAGAGAAGTAGATATTGTGTGGATTAGGTATTCAAAACAGATGCAATGCAGTGCACAACAAAAATTATTAGAGAATTTGTTGATTATTGCCCTCAAAGCAAATTTATTTTAACTAATGCCTTCACAATTACTTGCTTAATCCTTCCTTTAAAGGGGCAATATCATGTAAAATCAACTTTTTTGAGTTTTATATCATGTTATAATGTTATACTCTCATAAAAAACATGCCCAAAGCCTTGCTCTGACTCGTTCATGCATGTTTGAGAAATCCTGCAGCATTTTTAGGAAGGCATGCTGAGGAGCAAAACGACAGGTGGGGACCAGAAACACCTTTTTGGTACCAGAAACCTGGGACGTGTCTTTAAGTCGAACTTCCTCATAGCAGAGACC